CTCTAAAAAAGATGCAAAACTTGACAAGAGCCACACAATACAACCACAAACAAACCCTGCAAGTACTTTGCCTTTATAAACATCCCCAACTTTGACTCATCCGCCGTTCACAACCTTTTTTTTTTTAACCTTACTTGTACATAGAAATAAGATTTTTTTTTTAAGTCTACGTTATTTACAAGGCTATTAAATTTTGGTTTATAAAAATATTTGGAAATTTCGTGACCAAAAAAAAATATATATATTTGGAAATTATGAATTACCGATTTTGCGTTATTTCTTTATATAAGAGAAAATTGTAAAATGGTTATGTTGGCAAGGGAAAAAAAGAGAAAATTTTACACGTGTAAATACTAGATTTTTATATTACAATTGCGTAGAAAAAAATAATTATGACGTATTTACCAAGTGAAAATACTAGATTCTTATATTATAATTGCGTAGAAAAATATATTTTATCACGTGTAAATACTAAACTCTTATATCATAATTGCGTAGAAAATATTGGCCGTCTTTTACCACGTGTAAATATTTGACTCTTATATCTTAATGTTCAAATATTTATGAATTTATTATTTTTTTTAAAAAAAAATCGACATTTATTTATAAAATAATAAAGGATATTTCTAATCAAGGGTATTTAATTTTTTGAGTATTGTAACTAAATTTATTGGCTAAATAATTGTGGTGGTTGGCTCAGAATACAAATGCTCAAAGTTTGTATTTCTCACCCTTTTAAAGGACCTCAAGCAATATTGGTAAGGTCATATGGACAGCTTAACTCGGATTGTCTATAACCGAAATTGGATTTTCATGTTGACTTAACCGTTTCAGATTGTAATTGGCCTTGATTGACCAACAAAATTATTTTTTGGGCCATGCAACAAATTCGTGAAATGTGAATTTGATCCCAAATTTAGCTAACTCTGAAGATATGGCTCTCGTACGTACTATATGACTGAGCTTAGTGTATAAAAAGATGACTTTTGATGACGTTTCTCTAAGATCATGTTCCGAATGGATCAATAATTTTTGGAACATGGTAAGTCATCAAGGAAGAAGTAACAGAAGATATTAAAAGATAAAACTTTATGTTTGATTAAGAAACAAAACAAGGAAAAAAGAAAAACACATGAAAAAAAGAAAAACTCAAATTATCTATGTTTTTTTTTGTCGGATTTGAACTAATTGTAAAAAAAAACATTGTGTTCTTAATTTCTGAAGAAAATTTTAATTATAAAATGATGTAGAATATGTTCATCACGAAGAATAAGACATCAGCAAAATAAATATTTTTAAATTTTAATTTTTGAAAACAAAGTACACATACAGAAAAAAAAACAAAGAGATATAGATATAGCAACTGTTGGTGACTAGCCGTGACCTTGTTGTTGTGCATGTGGTTGTGTATGTCACTGTGCACGTTGCTGATACTGAGCTAAAGAAGGATATTGAGGCTGTTCCAAAAGTTGAGAACCAATAACTTGACCTCAATGTTGCAARACAGTAGCTTGTTGCAGACCTCCTTGCTGTTGTGACACAGTAGCTTGTTTCAATGATGTGCATGCTGTTGAGTCTGAGACCATAACCTTTGTTGCGTTGAGCTATATCTCTCATTATGTGCTTGGTTTTGCAACACAGTAGCTTGATGATGAGCTCTTTTCATACCCTTCCCCTTGAGCATTTTATTGTAAACTTTGTAGATTTTAGCTAGGATGATGTTTGACTTGTTACCTAAACTTCCATTGTTTCCCTTTGGAAACCTACATATTTGATGTTCTAATGAAAAGTGTGAAAATGTCACCCTCAAAATATATATAAATTCATACTTTTTTTTCTACCAAGTTGTTGCAGTTACAAGATATTGTTCAATGTATAAGAAGATGACTTCTGATGACGTTTCTTTAAGATCGTGTTCCAAATATATTAATTGTTAGAATTTTATTTTATTTCAATGAAAAATATAAACTTACCTTATAAATCTGTTTTGACGGACTGGACTAATATGGATTTGATGGGTTTTTGAGTTGGATCAGGTTGAGTTAGGG